AGACGATGAAGTTGATGGCGACGGCGAACTGCTTCTTCGTCTGGCCGGCAACGTTTCGGGAGATGAGGGAGAGGGCGAGGGTCTGGGCTGACCAGAAGGAGAGGGTGATGTAGTAGCAGATGAGGAGGCCGACGCGCTGGGAAAAGGTATTGTTGGGGACGGTCATGAGGAGGACGGTGCCGATGACGGAGCTAGCGAGGTTATTAGTGACTGAGGACTGTAAATGTACTGGAGAATCCTAGACTTACGGAACACAGAAGCCAAGCATGACGTAGAGGTTCTGGTTGAACTTCTTGACGAGCCAGACGGAGCCGAGAAGGACAAAGATGATGTAGAAACCGAGGACCATGGCCAGGAGCTGGACCTCGAGCGTGTTGAAACCGAAGCTCTTGATGATGATGTTGGCAAAGGCACCGAGACCAGAGGTGGGCAGGGTGGTGCACAGGGCAATGAGGGAGTAACCCCAGACCTGGGGATCCTTCAAGGCCTCAATGGCCTGCTCGCGCTTGAAGGTCTTGTTCTGGATACCAGTCTGGTTGTCACGGACACGCTCAACCATCTCCCGCTTGACCTCCTCGGAGTAGCACTTGGCGCGCATGGGCGAGTCGGGCATCCAGAGGAAGACAAAGACGCCAAAGATGACGGAGATGACGCCGTAGGCCAGGAACAGCCACTGCCAGGACTTGAGGGGCCCGGTCTTGATGTGGGTGAAGCAGTAGGCGAGGAGACCGCCGACGACCTGCTGGGCACCGTTCATCATGTACCAGTAGGTGACACGGGAAGCCTGCTCCTCGCGGCGGTACCACATGGAGGAGAGAATGACGAAGGCGGGCTGGCAAGCAGACTCAAAGATACCGAGCAAGGTACGGACGATGACAAGGCCCTTGAAGTCGGTGCAGGCGGCGTGACAGGCGAGAACGGCTCCCCATGCGATGATGGAGAAGCTGAGGTACTTTGCAATGGGGACGCGAGCGATGATGTAGTTCTGGGGGTACTCGACGAAGAGGATGGCAATGTAGATACAGGTGGTGAGCCAGGAGAACTCTTGGCCCTTGAGGTGAGTGTCCTCCTGGAGACCCATGATGGAGGCGAAGGACATTGTGCCCTTGTCGATGGCCTGGAGGAAGTAAGTGCCGATCATGATGACCAGGACGCGCCTGTCAATCATCTTGCGCAGCTGGTCGCTGCGTTCTCTGGAGACGGTGATGGAGCCGTCGCCGACGTACTTTGACAGCTCATTGTCGACATTCTCGAGGCGCTGGTGGTCGGCCTTCTCGTTGGAGATTGTGCGCTCGACTTCGTGGAAAGACTTTTTGCCAGGGCCTCCGCTCGTGGGGCGGACGACCTCCGGGTCGGGAACTTCGGTAGACGCCATCTTGTGTGATGAGACGGAGCGAGAGAAGATTCTTGCTGGTGTTGTGATGAGGGCCCGAGGTGAGTGAGACGCAGTAAAGGTCTCAAATATTGGCTGGATGGGGCGTTGGGGTCCGGAGTCTGTCTAACCTCTGCAAATGAAGGGAAGAAGCTGAGCAACCTACGAGAGGAAAGAGAGGGAGAGACGGGAAGAAGAGGATGCTACGTCGTTCTATATAAGAGTAGATCTTGGGTGGAGCACCGAAAGGGTGGTAATGGGTGGTGGTAAGGTGTTAAGGAAAAGCGAGCCGTAGACCGTAGTGCTTGGGATTCCTTCCTTTCCCCCTTCCGGATGTAGTATCAATCTGGACTGTCAAACCCCGGAATCTCACCCTCATTCTCTCCTCAGTTTTACCCCAAGATTTCTTGTTGGGAAGCAGGCAGACCGCAGGACTTCTCCATTCCCCCGGTTCCACATCTCGGTCCCCCGCGAAAAGGGACGACGAGACTAAGGCCAGAATCAAACCCCCACGGGCCCTAGGCTGCTGGTATCCTGGAGGGATATGGAGACGGCTTACCAGGTCCTGTATGGTTCGGCGAGCCGGATCACAGCTTGGACCAGACGATGAATAGGCGAGAGATGTGCAGGAGTGGGTGCAATTTGGGACATCATTCGACCGAAGTGGCGGGAAGGGCAAGTGGTCTGCCAACCCTCCCCCATATGCTCGCTCTCTTCCCCCCCCCCTCAGAACTCCGCGTTTCTGCGGTGTATCCCCAATATCTGGGGAGAAGGAGGAACATGGGACCATGACCTGGCCAGGATTGGATAAGGAGGACACGAAAGTGGGCAGGTTCATAGCTAGAGCAGCACGAGTCAGGATTAGGGATTGGGGGATAACGTTGCGACGACTGGGGGACCCATGGGCGCAACAACATGAACACATGCGTGATGGACGGTGAACCGGGAGGAAACCGACAGCAAGTGCGCGCAAGAGAAAGGTGGGAATAAGGGTGTGAGCGGATAGCTCCAACTGGGGAGGTCTCTGTTTGAACTTTCATGGTTGGCACGGCTGGCGAGGTCGACCCGGCGCGATGGTGTGCGCCTATACTGTGGTTCTTTGCATTGGGTGAGATGATTGGTGGTTTTCTGCAACGGGGATAAGGCGCGAGGCTAACTCTAGTCAGTGGTTTCTTGTTGGAATGTCTCACACGAGTCTGTAGTTTCTCCAGAGGGTGAAAGACAAGCTAATCGAGACTACTAATCAAGCGTTTAAGCGGTTGAGAGATCGCGTTCCTAGTGATGTGATGGAAGACTCTCTTCTTGGGGAGAGGTTATTGATGAGTGTGAATGGATGGCGGCTGCGACGGCAGTGCGCGACTTGGCATGGCACTTGGGCGCTCTCCCGGCCGCCTCATTCCTTGGTCTCCTGGGCTTTTGTCGCCGCATTTCTGGGCAGACGAAATGCTTCAGCAGCGACTGGCGAAGAACAGGAGGCTCAGACCACGAGGTCTCCCAGTGCCAAGTGGGAGGGGTGTGTGCCAATGTACGTGTGGGTGGTGGGCGGAAATGTCAACGACACGAAAGCTGCTTCGGGCTCGCGGCGGACATGCAGGGATGGGATTGGTAGATGTGAGGAAAACGGCCGTCTTGCCTCGAAGCAGCCATGTCGTCGGCGCAGACCCTACCGATTCGACCGGGCCGGGCTTGGCTCACCACCCAAGGAAAAGCTTGACGGAGGGCTTCCTTTCTGACGCTCGGGCTCAAGTGGTCTTTTCCGTCTCCTGGACGGCTTGCAATTTGTCGTTTTCGTCATTTTTGCGTTGTTGAGCCTAGCTGAGCTCATGTGAAAGTATGGCAAACTGGACAAGAGTAGGGAGTATGGAGACTTTGAAATGGGGGCCTGGTTTTCAGGAGGAGGCTGGGAATGGTCGTGGAAGTGGGTGCGGGCACATATGCCATATGTCGTGTTGCATTGGTTGCATTGCGTTTAATGTCCTGCGGTGAGATTGCTTGCATGCGCAGAGACTAGGAGAGGAAATTGAGTTCCGCGGTTGGAAAGTCACAGTAATCACGAATGAGAGCAGTCGTCCCGTAGAGTCCGTTTCTATATGAAGAGACGTTTTCATCTCTTCCATTCCCCAAAGCGACTTCAACCTCGTCGGTAGACCTCGTGAGTAATCTTCGTTCATCTCGCTCAATATTACTCCGTATTGTGCCGTCGATGTGGTGCCTGGGAGAGCATGGGATGACCTTATTCTACCGTCCTGGGCTCCGCAAAATGAAGTTTAGGCCTGGTTGCCTAGGGCAGAAAAGGCCCCTCAAATCTCCTCTCCCAGGTCTTGAGGTCCTGGACGTTTCCCGGTTCCCCGTCTCTCTCCAGCTTTTGTTCGCCCAGATTTTCCCCCAACGATCCAGTGCGGAAGGGATTGCGGAGAGTGTGCGGAGATGACTTCCCCAAAACACAAACCCCGGACGGCTAAACACAAAAAAGCCGGGGGCGCCAGCGTCGGGTTCGGCGTCGAAACGGTAAACCTCGTAAGAGGCACAGGAATTTGGGGGGAAGGAACAGGGATGATCCAGATAGCGGTCTTGGAAACACAAGTAAACAATAACAACAGACCAGTCAGAGACCGAGAAGAAGAGGAATAGTAAGAAAAGGGCCCACGAAGACCAGGAAGAAGGACGGGAAAGGAAAAGAAAAATCGGGGAAACTTTCTCCACCGGCGCGGGGTAAGAAGCCCGGGGCGCGGGGGAGGAGGGCCCGAGCAGCGAGCGGCGCACCCCGGTGACGTGCCATCTAAAGTGGGGTCGAGTCGGGCCCTTCCGACCAACCACCAACGTCGATTCCGCAGGTGTCGTCCAGGAACGTAGAGAAACGCTCTTGCCTCAGTTATTCACACCTTGCCTTACGGAGGACCTAACGTTGAACTGCATGGCCGTTTCTTCCAGCGACTTCGCAGTCACAAAGTCACAATTCCAGTAAAACGCGTTCCTCTCACTCTTCTCTGTTGGCCGCGTCCATCAAGAGTGTGGGGATCCCCAGGTCCCCTCCGTAATCCATCATCCTGAGCCAAACCATCTACTGGAAAGCGCGTCTTGGAAGGGCATCTTGGGGCCTTGGTCCTCGGCCACCATCACTCCGAGCCTCCCTTCCCCTCCATCCTCCCACCCAGAACCCCTCGTTTTTCCCACCAAGCATATTTCGCCGGAGCCCTCCCCTTCATAAAGGATTCCGCACCCAAACTTCGTGTCCCGAAGCGTACCCTTTTCCCCCGAGTGTTTCGTCGTTCGATAAGCCTTCCATCTCACGTGCCTTCGCGTCTTGTGCCGTCACTGTACATACCTAGATACCCCTTTCCCAGAACTGTCGCAAAAGTCACATGCTATCTGTGCCGCACGACTTTTGAAAAAAAAAAAAAAGGTTAGTCTCATCTTCCGTCATCTGTAGATAGTGCTTTTGCGTCATCAACCGATACGAATTCGACTCTTTCGAATTCGACGTCGTAACAAGCAAGATGGCCGTGGCCTCACCTCACCGGCCAGGATTGAAGCTCTCAAGGCTAATTACGAACACAGACGCCAAAAGGGTCCCGACAACATCATAACCAACCCTCACAAGATACACAAAACGAAAAACACCGCCAAAATGCCTGCCGGAATCACCGAGCTCCATGGCGTCAAGCGGGCCGACATTCACAAGCAGGTGAAGCAGCTCATCCACGACATGGTCAACATCAAAGACACCACAGGTGAATTTCTCATGACGCTCGAAAACGGCCGCGTCATCGACACAAAGGGCTGGGGCGACTGGGAATGGACCCACGGCATCGGTCTGTACGGTATCTGGAAGTACTACGAGCTCAACGGCGACGCGGCCGACCTCAAAATCATTGAAGACTGGTTCCGCGACCGCTTCGAGGAGGGCCACAAGGGCAAAAACATCAACACCATGGCCGTCTTCCTCACCCTCGCCTACGTCTACGAAAAGACCAAAAACGAAACCTACCTCCCCTGGCTCGACTCCTGGGCCGAGTGGGCCTACCACGACCTCCCCCGCACAAAGTACGGCGGCATGCAGCACATCACCTACCTCGAGGTCAACGACCAGCAGCTCTGGGACGACACCCTCATGATGACCGTCCTGCCCCTCGCCAAGATCGGCCTCGTCCTCAACCGGCCCCACTACGTCGAGGAGGCCAAGCGCCAGTTCCTCCTCCACCTGCAGTACCTCTTCGACGCGCCCACGGGTCTCTTCTTCCACGGCTGGACCTTCCACGAGGGAGGCCACAATTTCGCCCGCGCCCGCTGGGCCCGCGGCAACAGCTGGCTCACCATCGTGATTCCGGAATTCATCGAGCTGCTCAACCTCACGGGCGACGACGCCCTCCGCTCACACCTCATCAACACCCTCGAGGCGCAGTGCGCCGCCCTTGTGCCGCTGCAAGTTGAGAACGGCCTGTGGAGGACGCTGCTCGACGTGCCCGAGTCCGAGGGCTCCTACGTCGAGGCGAGCGCCACGGCCGGTTTCGCCTACGGTATCCTCAAGGCGCAGCGCAAAAAGTATATTGGAAAGGAGTACGAGGCCGTCGCTGTCAAGGCGATTAACGCGATTTTGGAAAATATTAGCCCCGAGGGCGAGCTGCTCAACACGTCGTTCGGCACCGGTATGGGCCACGATTTGCAGCATTACAAGGATATCCCGCGGACGAGCATGCCGTATGGCCAGGCCATGGCTATGATGGCACTGGTGGAGTTCTTGCGCGTCTTCGTATGAAGTTCATGATATAATGCTGAATGACAAAAGAAAAAAATGAACCTGAATGAACAAACCTTGGCCCCTCAAAGCTGCTGCCCTGTGAACTGCAATGACTTGTGAGCTAAGCTTTTTTTTTTTTCTTTTTTTTTTCTCGAGAATCGAGAGTTCAATATCACGCGCTGGCCGATTTCGCAACGGTTTCAGACACCTGACTTGAGCACCCATGTAAGCCTCGTCCATGAGATGCGTGCGAACCTCCCAGGGCATAGATGACTCGGCTCAACTATGACCGAGACATCAAGGTATATTTTGTCGCGAGCCTTGGCGTTGGGGTTGAATCCCCCCCACGCTCTCGGGGGTGTCTTGCCAGGACAGGGAGGGAAATGATCAGAAGCGAAGACGAACGTGGCTGTCGCTTGGAGGTTTGCAAGTACATGTCGATCCGTCCCACTGCACTCTCCAGGGATACTTCAGTATGGGAACTTAACCGGAGACATATGGTCATCTTTGACACAGCGTGAAGAAGATGACCTAGTGGCAGTTAATACTCGGAAGTCCGGGCTGAGAATGCTGAGGAACCTGAAGGACGATGCTAAGTCCCAAAGCATCGTGTGTTACAGGCTCGTCTCGGCAGGTCGGTACAAGACGATCCCAAGCTGTTCCCAGTCGTGACAATGATGTGCGATCCGTGGGGGCCGAGGGTATACCGTCCTCCTGGGAATCTTGTCAAGATGCCACACCCCCAGGCCCGGTTCAATGCGGCCCGAGACAGGCACGCATTTGGTTGCAACCGGGCATGCGGCTTTCGTAGCACCCGAATCCGGGGCTGCGGGGCACTCCGGGTGTCAATCTGTCATGTAACTCTCCGTAAGGTGCCTGGACGAGAGATCTTCCAATGCCATGAGAGGAAAGGGAAGCCAGACAGGGATACATGATCATGTTTTCGTATGAACTCGGTATTGGGAGCTGTCGGTCGGTGACTAACACCGAGATGTTGAATCGCGTCCATCTTAATATGTCATGGCATGGTCATCCGCGGGTCTGGTGGTGCTAGCAAGAATCAAAGAGCCAACATCTTCTCAAATCGCCGGCTTCTTTTGCATGCCATAGTTGCCTCTTTTCTTGCTATCGAGCTTCTCTGAGACACCCAAAGAGACAATTCGCAAGACTCAGTCTCATGGTTTTCAGGGTCTTGACACGAGATCTAGGAGAGCTTTGCTGGCACCGCCCACCTGCTTTCAGCAGCCACGCATGACTTTCAGTCTTCGCCATGGCTCTTCTTTGTTAGTAAGGTCAAGTGCAAGGTCCTCCGGGCGCCTCGTCGCTGGTCTAGAAGGGCACGCGACAGGACCCTGCGTGAAGCTAGCTTCGGAGGTTTTCTGAGCCATAGTCAGATGTCTCGCTGCAGCGGTCGATGCGGCCTCGAAAAAGACATGGCCTGGTGCCAACACATGTTGATCACAGGGCAGTCTCTTTAGCTGATAAGGTACAGTAAGGTACTGCGGTGGTGCGGATTCCCGGCTGTGCTGAGTCAAATGATTGGATGCCGTGACAGAGACGAGCGGTTGGAGATGCCGAATAGGTAGCACACGTGTAGAATGCGACAACAAAGCGAAAGAGAACAGAGACCATGCGCCAGGGTTCTATTAGTGGCCGTTTGAGTTTTGTATTTTTGGTTGGAAGTGAAGGAAAGGTACCGCGTGCGTGGGAGGGAAGATCTGGGACGATCAAAGGTAGATGAGAGATCAGAAGGGTTTGGCCAATGACAAAGTGGTGATTTGGAGGGTGGGCGTCATCATCTGCGCGTGATTGAAGAAGAAAAGCGCAAGTGCGATCGATGCCTCGTGCCTGCCACCGATCTCTTGGTGCGTTTGATTGGCTGTTAGTGCGAGTGGTGTCTGTCAGTGCGGAAAGCTTAACTGGCCCAACCCAAGCGATGCTACAAGTAGTGTACACTTCCCGCCTGCCACCTCCATTTCGGCCTGGTGCACGAGCCACAGGCAGTCGCGAGCACGGTGCATCCACTGCCACCCGCCCCGGGCAGTGAGAGTGAGGTACCGGTACGTGGGCACCCACCCCAAGCGGCGACCTGAAAAAGCATAGGGAAGGACCGAAGGCAAAGGGAAAAGGAAGGAAAGGAAAAAAAAAAGGAGGATGAAAAATGAGGTCACCCATGTCTGTGCTTCAATTCCATTGGACCTCTCATCTTTTGCACCCGTCTTCGCTTGTTCCTCTGGGCAGCTCTTACGTCGCATCCAGCCGAAAGCTAAGGTAATTCCCGCCGATATCCTTCCGCCGACCTGCAGCACCAAGCACCTTTCTTCAACCACCCGCTTAATTAATTGCCTTACTTCATTGCGTCGCAACACCATCCGCGCATCCCTCCTCCTCCGCCCATTACGACCTTCGACTCCTCCTCTCATCCTCCCCTCCCCTTCTCCCAGCCCAGGACATTGAGAGACGCACATCTTCGCCCTCCCCAGTGTGCTCACCTCGTCAATTGTCCTGCCCCCCTCCCGAATCACCTCACCTCCTCGCATTTACAGCCAGCTCGAGACCATGCGCTGGAGGCTACGATTTTGCATTCCATCTCCGTGAGACCCTGGCAGCGGGGTAGCCCGGGCCCAGCAGCTACACCCGAACGAGCAGCTCACCACCGAACCCATCTCCGACCATTTACCACCGACCCCAGTACCCGTAAACCGTGACCGATCTCGACGACCATCTCGACGACGTCACCGCTAAGTTCTGTAAGAAACCTGTGTAGCTGCAACTGGTCGACCTCTGCATCAGGCCCTGCGCCTCAATTGCCGCAGCTTCCAACATGCCTCGCACCACCAACAGTAACAACGTTGCTCGCGCAGCTGCTGTGTCCCGGACAGCCTCGTCCGGCTCCTTTCACGCAGGCGCTCCCATCCCAACCCTAGGGAATATTGAATCCAGCCGGAGGACCACGATGCGACGCCAATCTACTCACCGATATCATACCTTTCCGACACCACCTCCCAAGACACCCCGCGAGCAATCATCCGCAGAGCTTTTCCCACATTCCGACGATGATTCCGATGCATCAGACGACGACCACCGGCAGACTCCTCTGCCCGTCAAGCAGCTTGCTTTGCTTGCCTTCCTCTCCCTGAGCGAGCAGACAGCACTAAACTCCATCGGCCCTTACCTGCCTCAGATGGTAGAGTCCTTCTCCGATATACCAGATTCTCAGACGGGCCTATACGTTGGAATCCTTGCCTCGGCATTTGCGCTCGCCCAACTATCAACGAACCTATTATGGGGCTATCTGTCAGACGTCGTGGGTAGGAAACCAACCATGGTTCTGGGTACCTTCATGTTAGCAGGCTGTTTTGTGGGCTTCGGGTTCTGCAGGACCTACTGGCAGATCGTAGTCGTTCATGTGGCCATGGGTATGCTCAATGGCAATGCTGCCGTTGTTCCCACAGTTCTGGGAGAAGTGACGGACCGCTCCAACCAAAGTCGGGCCTTCACATGGCTTCCCGTCATCTACTCCCTAGGCGGCATTACGGGTCCGGCCTTGGGCGGGCTACTGGTTGGTACCATGGGAAAGCGGTACCCATATCTTGCGCCCAACTTGCTGAGTGCAGGGCTATTATTCATCAGCGTGATTGTCGTCGCAATCTGGTTCGAGGAGACACTGGAAACGTTGGAGCCAGACCACGCAGCTTGGATTCCTGCTTGGGCGCGCAAAGCTTGGTCCTGGGTCTCGCGAGAAGCGCAACCGCGCAGAGGTTCGTGGGCCACACGCTGGCCTCGCCGCGGATCACAGGCCGTGGTCAGCACCGACGACGACGAGGAAGAAGAAGATGACGAGGACGAGGCAGGGGAGGATCAAGGGTTGCTTCAGCATGCATCCGAGAACGATGCCCATGCCGACGATGACGCTAAGCTCCCGGGCGACCTAGCGACATGGCGTCAACTTTTGAATCGCAATACGGTTCTCGTACTGTTAACCTACCTAGTATTCCAGTTGTCCAACATCTCCTTCAACAGCTTGTACCCGATCTTCGCCGACGCCAACCCTCCAACAGGACGCGGTCTCCCGCCAAGTAAGATTGGTATCAGTCTAAGTCTGGCCGGAGTGGCCACCATCGTCTTTCAAGCTTTCCTCTTCCAGCACTTGAAGACGCGGCTGGGAAATCTGGGCACCTACCGCATAGCCCTGCTGGGATTGGCTGTTAGCATGGCACTGATGCCCTGGATTCCCTACTTGGACGACGAGCCGCTGTTCGGCGTCGGCAGCGGTCCGGCTTGGCTGTATGCGGAACTGGGCGTCATCCTCATCATCAAGAACATCTGCGCCGTGGGCGGACTGTCCAGCGTCATGCTCTTGGTAAGTTATCCAATGATGACTTAAATGTTTGAATTCTTGCTAATGATGGCTGCAGATTACGAACTGTGCACCGAATCATGCTACTTTGGGAACATTGAACGGCATCGCTCAGACGCTGTCCGCCGCGGGCCGCAGCTTTGGTCCGTTCGTCTCTGGCTCCCTTTTCACGCTATCCACGCGTGTCCATCCCAAGGGTGAGGCCCTGGTCTGGGGCATATTTGGCGGCATTGCCCTCTTGGGATGGGTTGGATCCCTCGCCATCCGCAACCGTGGTCTCGAGAGTGACGATTGGGTTGGCGAGGAAGATGGCACTGACGGCGAAAATGAGCCATGAGCCATTGTACCAATCTCTTGCCGCGAAGATCGACACATGTGTCAACCCCGCTAGGTTCATGTTTGTAAACGGTCGAAAAATGTTTCGGATAATCATAGCATTGGGGAAAAAAAAGTGTCGGAAATGCCTGGTTCAAAGCGGATATATTTGCATCAATAGAAGAGGGTGGAACCAGCTCACCCCCTGGAAGAAGAAGACGCAGACAGCTACACGGTATAGATCTAAGAGGCCAATACCGGGCCCAAACTCGTAAATCTCAAGATTTGACTTGGTCTTTGAACATCTGAGCCTGCATACGCAGACGCGATTCGCGATTCTTGGGTAATCTGCAACACAGCTAGCATTTTACGAGCATCGCCATGTCCAAGATAGCTGCATGTCAACGCCCGCATTGTACCGACTACCACATCAGTCGCAGTAGATATTCTCAGCAACTTGTAAAGCTTTGTGGAGAGAACGAGATGGATATGGTAGGCAGGCAGCTACACCTGGCAAACCTACCATGGTTGGATAATGGTATCTTACTCCGTCGGCGGACCGGCATAATAGTCAGCGCTGGCAAAACCCCCGCCACCCCTAGTCGGCCTGCCCCGCTCCGATATTTTCATACCTAGGCCCCGATGCGGGCGCCGTGCATTTTTGCACCCAGGGCCTTTTGAAGAGGGTTTTCTGTCCCTTGCTTTGCTAAGCATTTCGATGGTTCTGGAATGTTCTAAATCCTGGGGTTTGTTGTGATGTCGGTAGAATCTCTCACGTCAAACGGTTGCGTTCATGCCTATTGGGCTTGGTTGGGTACGCGGTGGCGATGTTTCGTTTCTGGGGTTGAGGCCGTCGCCTGTGTCCTGCACCTTCGGCTTAACCGTGAAGAACGAAGGCTTCATCTCATGATGACGACATTGAGTTTATAATGAAAAACTCGATGAGGTTTGTGTTCAGTATGAATAGACATATATTTTGATGCATCTAATCGAAGTAGAGATGTGATATCCCTCGGGCTTGCCAGAAGCCCTGTATAACTGCAATGATCTGATTCTCTTCACCTCTTCCAGGAGGTTTGAGAACTCGGAGAACCAAAAATGCTATGAAAAATTCCAACCATTGTCGCGAGACGGAGTGGTGTATGCTGATGCCGGTGACGATGCTTCTTCCCAATGCCCCCCATGATAATGCTATTCCCCGAAATTGAAATTCTCTTGCCCTCGCTCGCTCATGCTTTAAATACCAAGTCAATCAAACTCTACCCCGTAAGATGTGTGTCGTAATCGTCCTCTTGCAAAATTTCTCCTCTACATCTTTCCGATACCCACGCTCATGTAAGCCGGCTCATCATGATCGTGAGTCCCGACAACCAGACTAAAACCATGTCGGGGGAAGGGACCAGTGCCGTAGCATCGTGTCGACGGCCTTGTTCCATTCGTACTCGAAGCAGGCGCCGAGCTGGGCTGCCTCGTCGGTAGACGGCTCGCGACCTCCCCACATCTCGGGCTTCGTGGCCTCCAGGGCCGCGTATCCGGACACAAGGTCACTACAATCGCAAAGAAATTAAATGTCAGCCTTGATCTTCCATGACATATCTTGGTGATTGGGGGGGTTGGGGCATCGCTCACTCTTCCTGTATCTTGACCAGACACAACCACGCCAGGTTCCAGCTCTTATTCGAGTTGGGATCGTTGCGCACGCGGACGTGGGCGTCGTAGAGGAGGTCGCTGCAGAGGGGGTAGCTCCGCGTCAGGCCACGGAGCTCCGTCAGGAACTGGTTGCTATTCACGTAGTAGTCCCAGGCGGCGGTCATGGGGCCCTGGAAAGCTAGAGCGTCCTCTTCATTCTCGCAGGTGGCTGCTACGCGTTCGATGCGACAGAGCTCTGTTAGGGTGTTGACCCTGTGCGTCTCTAGGGACTCGATGAGTTGCTGGATTGAGCGCTGTAGGTGGACTCAAGTCAGTATGATGACCGAAGAAGAAGAAAGAGTCGGGTATAACAGTGTAGTCTTGGACGTGAAATGGAACGAGAAAGTACCGAGATCTAGTGGCATGTCCTTGTAGGGGAAGGGGAGGTAATACAAAGAGGAGACCGTGACTGACTTGAACCGCCCTTGGTTTCTTGCTACTCTTGGAGCTACGGTGGTGGCTTGATGACCCTCCCGAGCGGCCGGAACGCGACGAAGACATGGTTGATGACGGTCTGCGGGAAGGATGGGACTCCTGACTGACTGATGGCGGCGCAAAGGCGACAAGGATGTCCTCAACTGTGTACTGGGTATCCGAGTCTATTTGATCTTCAAGCTGTGTGATGTTTGTGTGTCCGTGGTCAAAGGAAAGTGGCAGATTCGGGCCAGGGGAAGCTAGTGATATATCCTGTTCCTCGGCTTCGAGCTTGATGCTCATCACGATAGATATCCACTTCGGGGTAGAATCTCCGAACCGAGTAGATGGGTCGATCGAGGTAATCAGACACCCTCTGACTGGGTATGTCTGTCTGTTGCAATGACGTCGCCAGAGCTCGATGGCCCAAGATAGCCGTTGAGAATGTACTTGACAGAGATCCGCAGCAGTCGAACCGGAGACGGCGTATCACGAGATGAGAGATGATGTGAGTTTGCGATGCCTCGACAGTCGGCAAAGACCGTCAGAAAAGCTTGGTATTGAGTAACACCGAGGAGAGTCGCTTTTGTGACGGGTATCTGAAACGACAGAATGGTTTTGTATGGTCAAGATTCGTTCTCCAAGAGCCAGAAGAAGAAGATTGCAGCCAAAAGTGGCAGCATATGATGGTGCATCATAATGATATGAGCTTGCCCAGCCACGATGTCAATGCCGGCCACCGCTCCGGCAATAATCAAACGTTTGAACTCTAAACGGGTAGGAAGCATCCACATGGAGGGAGATGTAGCCCGGAGCTGAGGCTGAGGCTGATGAAGGCATCAGAGAGGACGTCAGGGGTTACGGTAACCATATCAGAGGGGCGTCCGCCAAAAAAACAGACCAGGGAATGGGTGTGCCATGACCGCAGACAGCAGAACGGGTGGTCACTGTGCTTCTCACCAGAAGCCTCACCCGTTCCCAGGAGACCGGCTATGCTGCAGGTCTGGTGGAAGAACATGCTCGAGACATTCATTGACTCTTTCTCCCAAGACTTGGATGCTTGCAAGGAAGGGAACGGTATGCAGTGTGATGGGCGAAGAGGCAAGGTTGAGGTCAGTCATTGGTCACATCGCATACAGGTGCCGATGAGTAAAACTGCTGACAGAGCAGACGTATTTTTGTCTCGAGCTCCCAGGAGAGCTCACCCACCCTTGCCGATGACGATGGGAATCGCGATAGACGGACCCCAGAAGCCGGGACAGCCTAGACATGCATGCTTCTGGGTGGAACGAGACTGCGCAGAGGTCGTAGCTGCAGCCCTACCAGGCATGTGGTCGACGATGAGAGACAGTTCATAGGGCGTTGGGGCAGGCGATCAACGAGGAAAGGGTGGCAGGGTCCCAGGAAAGGCAACGTCAGATTTTAGCGGAGGACAGATCGTATGGCATGGACTAATGGCTACCCACCCCACGCCAGTCCCGGCCCGTGATTGATCGGGCATCCCCGGTCTATCGTCAGGTGAAGATTGCATATAGCGAACGCTTTGACTATGGCGAAGGATGACCAGACTCAGAAGAAGGCATTGTTGCTGACCTGGGTGGGAGGCTCAGTTTGGCAATCCGACGGAGGTCTATTAGCTTGTTTGGTGGAGGCTTGTCGATTCGCGCCAATGGGCCAATAAGACTGGGAGGGACCGTTTGCAACAGACCTGCAGATACGACAATGAATTGTACTTCGTAGAGCGAGAGCGGATCTGACTTTCGCCGAGGTGCCAACGGAGTAGAGGTCGGGGGTACGTAATAGCATCGAGACCGGGCACGGAGCGAACGTATGCAAGGAACTTTAGGTGCAGGTGGACGCGAATGTAGAAGAACTCTGCAAGAGAGTCAAAAAAGGGTTGAGCTATCTGCGAGCGTAAACCAAGCTCTGTCTCAACCTTGCATAGCTCGCGTGATGTTTGGGTATCCCAGACATGAACCACGTTGGAGTAAGTCGTAGATGCGGGGATGATTCCATAGGGCTGAATGTCAACCAGGTTGCTTTATCCGCGGGTTGGTTGGTCTGCAATTCAGCTGCCCCGCCGCTCGAAATTTCGTTCATGTGTACCTTGGAGCTCTTGACCCCAGTCTGGACCCGTTGTGAGGAACCTTGAATCTCGGTTGTGAAGGATTCGGTCATTGAGAATAGAGGTTGTCGTTTGCTTCAGGTTGAGCATCCTGCACGCTTGTTTGGCGTTCCTAGAGGCTGGGATTGATACCAGGGTGATTCCGGTTCTAGACTTTGGGGCATAGCTAAGCCCGTGCCTCGGCTCCCAAACCTCCCGCCTGCTAGGATTGTGGGCCAATAATGATGGACCGATGGGTTTCTTCTGGATGTCGACAATGGGCTGCTGAAGTTGAGGCTGGGAGTAGCTGTGAGACCCAGCCCTATCTGAGCAGATCGATCGACACACTGTAGCCGCAGGGAAATCCGTCTGGTCGATCACGTATCAAAGGATGGCCCAGAGGAAGAAATTTGCCCCATCCGATACAGGATTCCAAGCGCCGAGCGAAAAAACATCCAAAGGTATGAGAATAGCCATGAAGAAAGCCCGTGTACGATTTTTGGCGAGGCAGACTCGCGGATGCTCTATGCCCCGGAGGAGCACTTCACGACAAGCCAAGCGCCGGAAGAGCAAAGATACCGGAAGCGCCGTCTACGGCCCAGGAAGGAAGGATTATAAGCGCGATGCGAAGCATTTGGTTTGCTATGTTACGGCTCGGAATGTCGGACAAGGCCGTTAGACTCGCGGCAGAGCGGAGAACAAGCGCGGCGACCAATACAAGTTGGGATGAGAGGACGGGATGAAGCGTGGAAGTTGGGAAGAAGAGAGCAAGAAGACGGTGGACTGAGAAACGTCACACGGTGATCTGACAGCACGGGCTCGTCAACTGCGCCACAACCTAATGCGAGTGGCCCAGTTTATAGGCTCAGAAGGGTGGATCATTGACCAATGGAAATTCAGAGAAAGAAGGGAGCAAGGGCCGTGATTCGCTGCGGATGTGGCTTGCCCCATCGCTCCTTCCTCAGCCATCCGGGTCCTGACAATCCGACTAGACGGTGGAAGGAGGAAGGAGGACCCTCTCGACCGTTCTTTCCCAATACGGAATTATCTTTCATGGAGGGAGGCAACCTATGTGTCTCGAGATATTGCTCCTTCTTTGGCAGCTTCTAGGATGTCTGGAATGCAAGATGGGAAGCAGTGCCTTGCATCCGCTCGTGCATCTCCTCCCCTGGGCATCTAACCTGTGCACTTGCTGTCGTGAACTCCGCCGGAGCCGGAGCGGAGGCGAGAGTCCTATTTCCAAGGGGTATCCGTAGATCATTCCAAATGAAAGCTCCTCCCTTCCACTTCCACTTCACTTCAAAATCATCACCCCCACGCCGGACCTCACCGAGTACACTGCCATCAAACCTCAGACTCTGGTGCACTCGCAGTGGAGTTCACTACGACGAGTACTTGCTGGTATAGCCAAATCGTCATTATTCGGGCGCATCGTCGTACCCAATCACTCACGCTGAGACGTCACTTCCCACGGCGGCCGACGATATGTCAGCCATCAACATGATGCACTCTGCTCTGTAAGCCAGAATGAAATTATAGAAACGCCCAAGGTAATAGCACGTGATGTAAAGTAGACACCAATTGACGGCGTTTAGGACGACCTTGCAGCCCCCACTCCCCGCGCAGACAGCTCGTTGGTGAGATTTATGAGGTTGAGCTTACCCATCGCAGAGCCGATCACGTGTTTCTCACTCTTTCCAATCGTTTCTCTGTTGCTGACTGCATCGGGTAACGACACCCTGGAACCCACTGTGTCACACCTCTTTTATCGAAAAGAAATATATCGAGGTCCCCGAGCCCGGTGGCCTCCGCTTACTGTCTCACGGGTTGGGCCCTCTCCCACGTCCACGTTGCCGGGAGCCTACTGACCACACTCCGTGAACTCCGCGAGTTTCCATATATCCTCACTGACATCATAGAAAGTCAACAACACACGAACACTCCCAGATCGCATTGACAAACTGCTGCCTGGAATACCTATGTAAGTTCGACCAAACACACGCTGCTGTTGCCTGAATGACACCATCTCTCAATGGTCACCAGTTCATTCATCATGCGCCATTCGGCATATCCTTGCTTGGGAAGCTCGGTACATCAAGGGACATATTCTTCTAGTACCTACTCAAGACGTCCTCTCGACCGATGCGTGTAGCCTCAGGATCGGTCCGATATCAACACAAACGCCTATTTCCATTCTCGCCACCATGCAACTATCCCTATCTCCGGATGTGGCCTACGACTCTGCTTTGTCTTTGACCGTGGCCTTCACCAGTGGGAGATAATCATCAACGCCGACCCACAGCCCAGGGCCATCACCCGCTCCCCCATTCCCTCCATCTAACTTGTAGATATCATACTTAGTACCAACCATCTTTGGGGAATCTCCTTTAGGCCAACGGCATCTCGTAGCAACTCGATATCCTCCCACGGCAGCCCAAGTACCCATTCCAAGTGATCACAATATAAGCTACCTCGATTCGTAGCATGCTCAATACCTTCCAAAGAAACCCAGAACCTTGATTCCAGAGAGGAGAACGAACAGCACTTACTAATAATGACAAAAGACACTTTATACCCGCCACCAACCATCTCACACTCATACCTAACACCCTCTACACGTCTCCGAGAACTTTTCAACCCCACACACCATCAGCCCCAGGCTTGAATCACCCAGCACATTGATGATATAGTCGTTGAGATTAAGAGCAGTCAAGGTATTCGCGTTGCAAACTTTATCGTTACAGTACGCCGACATCGTGCCGTTGCCGAGGAGGTTGAATGGCGGGCCGGCGGCGTCTACATAGCCGCAACCGTCGGCGAGGAAGCCCGGTAGGGGTTCGGTGGCATGAGCATACCTTTCCGGAGGGGGATGCCGCCCATGTTGGTGTATTCTTGGGGCGGAGTTGATGGTGAAATTTGAGATTAATCGTCATACCCCGAGTCTTTGGGGATGACAGTGAAGAGAGCAAAGAGGCGAGGTACGGAGCTTCCCTTCCACTCCTCTCGAGGCAGAGAGGGATTCAGTCTTACTCAGTATCCAAGTGAATGAGGTGTACTGGGAGAATAGCCGGCCCAGAACGGGCAGTTTATAGGTCAAATGTCAGGTTTCACATATGTTGTGTTACTGCCCTGTGTTGATCCATTGTAACTCGTAGACTTGGAAGAAGACCTTTCACTACCATCAGTAGAGGGATAATCGAATTAACCCTCAATTGGCATACATTGTAAAATGAGCCTTCGACGAAAACGCACATCTCGTCTTGCCCTTTGTCCACGAGTACTAAGGGCAGCGGTGCGATGCTGATTGGGATTATCACACCCATCCTATAGCAGTCCCACAACGAACAGACATAAAGTTCAGTTAAGTAGAGCTCAATTGAACCGTGATGGTAATCAAACAGCTCGGTTCATATTCTACAAGCATAGATCAATCACCTTCACTAGGCTCCAGGTAGCCTAGGTAGTCCTGAATAACACCAGAGCAGAATCAAAACTCCCATATGTGTTTTGCACAATCTTCAATCATAACCATCAATGGCTTCAAACCAGCGTAAACCAATAAAATATACAACAACAACAACTACCAACTGCCCATTTGCGTCAAATGTCTCGAGCTCTCGCCAACAAGGAACGAATACTCCCCAAACGTAATCATTGCCCAGTTCTGTTGCCGCACGTCCCAGTAGCTGAGGTCGCGCCGTGTCACGTTGAACGTAACAGTCTTCTTCTCGCCCTTTTCTAAGTTGAACTTGTCAAATCCACGAAGAACCTTGACGGGGAAGTCCACGCCGTGCACGTTCTTCGGATATGACATGTACAACTGGGGGACGACCTTGCCAGCTACGGCGCCTGTATTGGTAACGTCTGCCTTGACGGTGACATATGTCTCCCACAGGTCGGGGTTACCGCCCTCCTCGCCGCCGGCTTGGGATGGAGGCTGCTTCACCTCATATCCGTCTGGGTAAGGGTACGGGTCCGAGGAGATGTCGTCCACGGTATCCAAGTAAGGGTATACATACTTCTCGAGCTTGCGGAAGCCTTCCGGGAACAGTGCCACCTTCTTGTCGGGGATCTTGTCGCTAAACTTTGGTGGCTCCACAGCGGGCGCTGGGCGAGGTGATGGAAGTGCGCTCTTCTCCTTGACGCCCTCGACGACGACGTTGGAGAATTCGAAGCTCGTGTATGACAGGCCGAAGCCAAATTCGAAACGGGGTTCAATGTTATTCTTATCAAAGTGTCGGTAGTCGATGTAGAGTCCTTCAGAAAAGTCTTGTTGGGGCACCACGCCGTTGGGCAGGTACAAGATCTGTCCGGCAGGTCCAAAGTCCTTCAAAGACTTGGGGATTGTGTACGGCAGCTTGCCACTAGGGTTGACATCGCCAAAGATCACGTCCGCCAGCGCATTGCCACTCTCTTCTCCAGGGAGGTTCGCGTAGAGGACTGCCTTGACGCCAGGGTGGTCGATCCAGCGTTCCATTTCAACGGGGCCTACTGAATGAATGACAACGATGGTGTCACCACCTGCTGAATTGCCTTCACCTTTGCCGCAATTATCGGCGACCAAGAGGATCAGGTCGTCTCCTCCTTTTTGCAGCTTGAGATCGTTTCGATCCCCGCCAATGCCTCCCCACGCCAGGAAACCTTCTCCTGAGTCTGCGTTGGCAAACACAATGCAGACATCCTGGTTGTGTAGGACAGATGGGTCCTTCTGGAATGGAGGCGAGTTTGTGAGATACTCGGATAGCTCAACCTTCTCAGACTTGAAGCCCTTCTTCAAGGCTTCGATAGGAGTAACGAGGTACGGGAATTCCACCGCACCGCTACCCCAGCCCGAGCCCAGTGTTCCCTGATTGCAGCCACGGTCAGCGCAGTAATTCGGCCCGTTGCCTGGGCCAGCGTCCTCGCCGAAAATTCCAATCTTCAATTTGCCCTCGTGGCGTTTGCGCTTCGCATCGATGAAGCCGTCTCTGCTGATTGGCAGCACGTCCTTATTCTTGAGCAGGACTGTGCCCTCGGCAGCAACACGGCGGGCAATATCAGAGTGATTGCCTTGCACATTAACGTACTTGTTGAC